TGTTCTAAGTAGCGGGCGAGGATAGGATCACAGGACCGACCTTCCTAGAGCGAGGAGAAAAGAGGAGGGCTTCTCAGGGAACTTTTGCCGCGTTGGGGGGGGGGGGGGTTGGGGGGGGGGGGGGGGTGTCCTTCCCATCAGGACCTGCGTGAGAGGGTCAAGGAAAGGAAGAACGCGGGACCTTGGAAAGCACCTGTTGACTAGGCTGCCCGGGAAAGAAGGAAAAAGTGACGCTTTAAAAATCGTATCTAGAAATGCTCTGCTGTCGCTCAGTCCCTGGCTAGTTCTGCTTCACTACGACCTCTCACGGTGCATTCCACGTGGGGAGCCGTGTTAGTCTGTTGCATCAAAACAGACTTTGTAAATCTGACCAAGTAGGGTGTAGCCCATGAAAGCTTTAGCAAAAATCAACGAATTCGTCTCGATGGTGCCTGAAGGCTCTGCTATCCTTCAAGAGAGTTTAAAAAAAAACGTGTTAGAATTGCAGTCCTAAATTCAGTTGTTTCTTGGGTGTTTCAGATCACCCGGGTTTCTAAATAAGCATATTTTGGATTGAGGTACGCTTCCATTCATTGATTGCAAATAAATCCCATTTTTTCCTTCCAAGGAAATGGAGTTCAGATAAATGGTTGAATGGCGTGTTGATGTTAAAACGTTACTGTTTCTTTCGCCTGGTTGACTGGCATTATTTGTTGAGGCAAAGAGATCCTAAGAGACGATGAAATACACTGAGGCAGTGGGTTTAATTGTAAAGGATTGGTCAGGTGTATACCAGAACATGTAAAATCCCTTTTATGACCATCTGAAGGTCAGTAGTTCAGTGGTTCAAGACCCGGGTGCCGCAAGACAGGGTGAGCTCCTGTCTCTAGTTCCAGCTCCTGTCAACCTAGCAGTTCGAAAGCAAGAAATTGCAAGTAGATAAATAGGGACCACTTCGGTGGGAAGGTAACAGCGTTCCGTGCGCCTTGGTGTTTAGTCATGCCGGCCACATGACCACGGAAACGTCTTCGGACAGCGCTGGCTCTTCGGCTTTGTAACGGAGATGAGCACCGCAACCCTAGAGTCGGATTCGACTGGCTTTCGAGCAAGGGAACCTTTACCTTTACCTTAACAATAGAATCCCTTAAATGTAAAGTAGCTCTTACCAGTAAAGGAATAATATCTCCATTATTTACCATTATTCCTGTGTGAATCACACATTATTTACCATTAGTTTGTTCATTGTTAAATATTTCTGGTAATTGTACAGTTATCTGATGGTGGAACACAAAATAATTCATTATAACACAATATGAGTTCTTACAAAGTCCAATGGATGTAAGTAATCTTACCTGGGCTGTTAGATAAATTAAAAGGTGTTCAGCAAATTGAGGCAAAACAAATTTAAGTAGAAGGGCAAAAATGAAAGGAAAAAAATTAACATTCTGATTGGTTGAACTGTAACTATTAGTAAGTAATATTAAAATGTACTGATACTAACACATTAAACTAATTAAACTAATGAAGTGTGGATGACACACAGCACATTAAATATCTCACTACAGGTTTTGTCTAATTATTTCCCCACATATAAATAATAGGAGTTTCTATTCCTCTTTTCAGAAGTGGCTTCTCCTTCCATCGTTTAAGCATAATGGCAACAGCAAAATTATTCTGGCTGTATGCATGGTTATATATCACTTCTTTGGTTTGTGGCCAGTACGTATCTGTTTGAGTGAATGGCTGAGGCTTGGTGGATGTTGATATTCACACAGGAATGTCAACTATCTCAGATGAATTCTATTAATTTCCAAAAACTCATAGCTAGAGCAGTGATTGCTCATGGGCCAGCTAAATGTGATTGACAGCATTCACTTTTGTATGTTTAAAAAGTGGGCAGAAAGAGATCTGTTTTTGAACATTCAAAAAATCAACCACAACCCATTATTTTGGCCACTTCCCAGAATATACATAGATACATCAGCAGCTTTATAGTTTGTTTCAAATACAAGCTGCTGCAAATCCAACACACAAATTTTAAGAAGTACAAATACAGAATTGTATTAAATTTAATTAAATATGTACTTTTAAAAGATCCAAGAATTAGACCTATTCATCAACCCATAAAAACCTTATGATAACCTTAATATAGTTGTAACGGGAACTTTTAGAACTGAGTAGGCCATACAGGAAGCTGCCTGAGACAGCCAAACTCCAGGAACTCCTAGGCTAGTCTGAAAAATCTCAGGGAAGGAGGAATTTCCCTCCCTGCTCCACCCTTGACTTCTTCCCTCTCCAGTTCATTGTAGCCAATTTCCCCATCTTCCACATACAAGTGAGTGAAGGAAGTCTTCATTTACTTGTATGCAGCATTGAAGGGTACTGGAAACGGGAAAGCTTCTAAGGGGGGGAACAAAATTCATCTCTGTGCTCAAACACAGTTACTGTTCTAGAGGTCTGAGATGAGTGTAGCTATGTGGTGTGTCCCTCAGTATTTTCTCAACCACAGACCCATACAAAGAAAACCTTGAGGGATAACCTCTCTCTCTCTCAAACACACACACACCCCACAAGACATGGGAGAGAGGGGGCAGCAAAATTAAGTTTTGTTTCCTTTTACAAACTGGTTCCATAGTTTTGCTAGTACATTTCTCTTTTTCTATTGGTTACATATAAAGTACTGAACATGGCAGTTTAATCATATACAGTGGGTGCAATCTGGCAAAAAGTTAACCATTAAAGTCTCAAGAAACTGGTGTACAGCTAAAGCTGTTCACTTTGATTGTAAGCACATTTACTTGGAAGTAAACCCCAATAAACTTGGTAGGATTTATTTCTGAGTAAACACCTTGGGATTGCACTATATCCTTTTTTTAAACTGTCAACTTATAAGTGACCTCATAGGGTTTTCAAGGCAAGAGATGTTCAGAGATGGTTTGCCATGGCCTGCCTCTGCATAGCAACCCTGGACTTCTATGGTGGTCTTTCATGCAAGTACTAACTAGGGCTGATCCCACTTAGCTGCAGAGATCTGACAAGATCAGGCTACCTTGGGCCATGCAGATCAAGGCACTATATCTTTTCAAAAAGCTGCCCCTGAAAGCCAAGGGGACCTTCAGAGCGGCATCTGGTGCAATACAAATCTATATATACCATAGAAAATGAAAAATAGCGACGCTTCTTTGCATGTTAAAAAATAGTTCAACCATATTCATAGATTTCTTTGTCTCTCCGCCAATATATATTCACATACATCCATGTAGGCATACAACCACACAACTCGTTTTGCATAGCCATGGAATGACCTCCATTCCACAGAGCAAACTGCTGTTCAACAAAAAGGGTGAAAATTCCCAGTGTGTGCACAAAGCTCTGGGGTGTGCTGGGAAAGTAACTTTTTGGATCTTAGCCAATTTGTAATGAGAGCCATCACAGACACAAAACCATTACAATATAAATATTTATTGGAGCAAGATCAAAATGTACTTCTTACAATTTATACAAGCATGTTAAAAGACTCTTCAGTTTCAAAAAGGCATTTTAATTTTTTCTCATTTTCAGTCATATATATATATATATAAATCAACCTGTTTTCAGGTTGACTGCAGATCCAATCCAGTCTTACTTGTCCTTTGATTTTAAAGATGCTGAATTGCAATCCTTCTTAACAGGAATTTTCTACTACAATCTCATGTTCACACACTTATTTGTTTTTTCCATAGCTGTTGCTCGAACTAAAGGCAGAGTTTTCTAACTAATAAAAATACATGTTTATTTTTCTGAAAATACCTTTTATTAATACCAATAATTTATTGTGGTAGTTTTAGACATGTTGAATTAAAACAGAATTCTGGGCTCATAATTATATGAGCTATTTAAGTTTGAATCTTTCCTGATCTAATTTATTCCCATTGTTTATTTCACTGCCAGATTCTTTTGCAAAAAGCCACATTAACACTTACACCAAAAAAGAAAATAATATATTAATTTGTTTACAATTTTATTTCCACTGGAGTATTTGAGTTAGGAATAAGGTTTATGAATTACAAAATAAACTCTCGTAGTCATAACTCACTTAACAGAATCAGATTCTCTATACTATAAAGAAGACTCTGCATACTTGTAAAAAGGCCAGTATGAAAATACTGTTACCCTGGATTGCAGAATTACGGTGTAGATATATGAGGTACAGATATGTATACTGGGATTCTTTATAAACAACAAGTTAGTAACAGTGCAATCCTATGCAGAATCACTCCATTCTAATACTGGAGTAATTCTGCATAAAATTGCACAGTAAGTATGCTCAAAGACTGAGTTCTATTTTACTACTGTTTTCATCACAATGCATATGACCAACCAGTTATCAGTTTCAGGTGGGTAGCCATGTTGGTCTGAAGCAGCAGAACAAAGTCTGAGTCCAGTGACATCTTTAAAACCAACAAAGTTTAATCCTGGGTATAAGCTTTTGTGTGCATGCACACTTCATCAGATATGAATGAAGTGTGCATGCACACAAAAGCTTATACCCAGAATTAAACTTTGTTGGTTTTAAAGGTGCCACTGGTCTCAAATTTTGTTTGGTTATCAGTTTGTTCTTTAAGGCATAATAGAACTATGATAACTGATCATAAACCAGATGTTTTAGCTATGTGCCAAGATCACAGGCCTTGCCACTACAAATGTTTCTAAACTGGGCTGCAATTTGTCTTCGTTTTAAGTAAGCTATTAATCTAATTCTGGAAGCCCCCATCCCACCCCCAACTGGCCAGGTATGTGAAATGAATATAAGACTGATAGAACAGGTCATATGGTGATTCTATTAATTTATCAACTTTTATTTATTATATGAAAAGGATAGCAAAATATTTTAATGCTGAAAAGTGATGCAGAAATGCTATAGAATCAGATCACAATGTAATTACAGCAATAATAAAAATCTCAGACAGCTTTCCAAAGCGCAAATCCTCAGATATAAGCACTGTAGGTCTCCCTGTTGTCTGCAGGTTCAGCTCCCACCCATGGACTGTAGAAATGTATCTGAGAACTGCAAGAAGCTCTCCGAGCCCTGCTCTGACTCCAACTCCCTGCCACCCTCAGGGTCAGGCACCAATTCCTGTTCCTCATCTTTGACTGGACAGCAGGCTGGGGTAACCCTGGGGAGACCAGCCGCCGCCAACGCAGCCCGAGAGCGCAGCCGAGTGCAGACCCTCCGCCATGCCTTCCTGGAGCTGCAGCGAACCCTACCCTCTGTGCCGCCCGACACCAAGCTCTCAAAATTGGACGTGCTGCTCTTGGCCACTACGTACATTGCTCACCTCACCCGCAGCCTGCAGGATGAAGAAGAGCTGCCTGGAGAGAGCCTGGGCCCGCTGAGAGGAGAGGGCTACCTGCATCCGGTTAAGGTAAGCTGTGTAGAAAGAAGCAAGGTGGTGGCTCTTATGAGACCACATCAAGGAAGAATGTGAAAGCTTTACAGAGGGTTCTTCATTGGGAAGAACCCAAAGTGGCTATGCTCAGCTGTGTACCTGTCAAGACTTCTACGTCAGCCCTCATCCTCTTCCTTGGCCAGATGATCCTTTCGCTCCTTGCTTACCTGTTTCTGCTCACCAGCCCTTCTTGCTCTCTGAGATCCATAAACGCAGCTATGAGCGTGCAACCTACGACTGTGTTCTTGGTTACATGGGCAAGGCTGATGTTAGTAGCTGAGAGAACACTCGGGAATCCCACTGAAATGCACTAATGAATCTTACACTGCATTGCATCACCCTTTCTGCCAGTGCCATCGTATCTTCATCACCGTAAGAGTCTGAGTGAAGGCCATTTACCTGAAGCTCAGTCAAGATGAAGCCATGTTAGCCAAAAATAAAGCATACCAGGAAAGTGTCCTAGACAGCACTGCACTCCCTTGAAAGAGCAGGTCTGCAGCCCGGACCTGCTATTAGATCTGTGTTTCTAATTGGAGATGCTGTTCTGGGGCACATGGTACTTTTAAACAAGTTCAGGTTGGTTTGTTAGCTGCTGCTTTTCCTGAAAGAACTGGATGATAAATAACCATGGTCTGATCACATCCAGATTAAACAACTGCAACATGCTTTATGTAAAACTGCTTTTGAAAACTGGAAACTTCAGTTAATCCAGAATGCGACAGTGAGACTTCTGACTTTAGGTTTACTGGGAATGTATGTCCTCTGTTCTGGAAGAACTTCACTGGCTCCTAATTCATTTCTAGCTACAATTCAAAGCTTTGGCTCTTACCTCTAAATTAAGCCCTACAGAACGGGGGACCAAGAAATCTGAAAGAAAGCCTGACAAGGGAGGAATATCCCTTAAAGTGCCATGAACCTTCCTGGTGGACTGTTATCTCAGAGAGCCACTGGCAGCCAGGAGGAAATTAAACCAAGCCCCAGTGCTGCTGGGAATGCTGCAGTGGTTGCTTGGCTCAATAGTGGTTGGAATCAGTTTGCCTGCCTCCTCTTTTTCCTGCACTGCAGCCACCTGAGTCTTAGCTGAGCATCTCCTGAAGGGAAGTGCTGCAGAGTCTAGTTGGCTCAACCTGCTTCTGAGAATTTTAACTTCTCAGTCTGCCATGGCTGTATGTTCCCCTATGAACCTACCTGGTAGCTGTGATCGTCAATGGAGCCCCTGTCTTGTGTGCCCTTGCAAGTGTTGAAAGAGAAGGACTAAACACTCTCTCTTAGCCTCAGTCTCCAGAGGGGGATTACAGGAGAGACAGAGAGATAAACTTTGAGCATCCTTCCTGTTTACTCTTCTGCCTCTGTCCCTTTGATGTGTAGACTGATACTCTCAGGGAATTGCTTCCTTCCGTTCTTTCTCTCTCACACGCACACGAAGAAGGAGCACATTGCTCTTAATTCTGCATCTGCATACATCCAGCTAGTTAGATTAGATTCTATCCCTCTCTCTCAACCTGCACTATCTAGAATTAAAGGATTCTTATTAGTTTGAAACTGACAAGTGGCTCTGTGTAACTCTGCAACTTTGCTAGCACATACAAAACAAAGAAGCTACTGCTGCGTGTAGCCCTTGTGCAGTCTGCTAAATAAGACAGAGACTACTAACTTACTATATCAGTGAATCTAACAGCAAGCGGGTATCTTCCATAGATGAGGGCTTTACTCTTGTAGTGTGTTGAATTCCTGTTGTAAAGCCCTCCCTGCACCTGTTCATCTGTTGTCTGCTCTTCTGAGTTTCAGATATCAGGTGAAGATTGTTTTATTTTCCCTGTTATTTGGTGAGAGGTGAGGATTTTTATGGTATGATCTTTTGACTTGCTGTGACCTCAATGGGCCATACTTTTTGTTGTTCAGTCGCACAGTCGAGTCTGACTCTTCGCGACCCCATGGATCATCTCCCGCCAGGCCCTCCTGTCTTCCGTCATCCTCTGAAGTTGGCTCAATTTCATGTTCGTTGCATCGATGACACTGTCTAACCATCTCATCCTTTGCCGTCCCCGTCTTCTTTGACCTTCAATCTTTCCCAGCATCAGGGTCTTCTCCAGTGAGTGTTCCCTTCTCATTTGGTGGCCAAAGTATTTGAGCTTCAGTTTCATTATCTGGCCTTCCAGGGAACAGTCACGGTTGATTTCTTTTAGGATTGACTGATTTGATCTTCTTGCAGTCCAAGGGACTCTCAAGAGTCTTCTCCAGCACCATAGTTCAAAAGAATCTATTCTTCGGCGCTCGGCCTTCCTTATAGTCCAACTCTCGCAGCCATACATGACTACTGGGAATACCATTGCTTTGACCATGAGGACTTTTGTTGGCAGGGTGATGTCTCTACTTTTTATCATGCTGTTTAGGTTCGCCATCGCTTTCCTCCCAAGGAGCAGGCGTCTTTTAATTTCATGGCTGCAGTCACAGTCTGCGGTGATCTGGGATCCCAGGAACATGAAGTCTGTTACTACTTCCACGACTTTCCCTTCTATTTTACCAAGGAGTGATGGGGCCGGATGCCATGATCTTAGTTTTTTTGATGTTGAGCTTCAAGCCCACTTTTGCGCTCTCCTCTTTTACTCTGAGCAAGAGGCTCTTTAGGTCCTCTTCACTTTCAGCCATTAGAGTGGTATCATCTGCATATCTGAGGTTGCTGATCTTTTCCCCAGCAATCTTAATTCCCCTCATCGATCACTGCCTTGTCCTGGCGAGGGGGCTTGAGCAGTTCAATGAAGCTGTGGGCTATGCCGTGAAAGGCCACCCAAGACGGACAGGCCACAGCAGAGAACTCAGACCAAGTGTGATCCACTGGAGAAGGAAATGGCAACCCACTCCAGTATCTTTGCCAAGAAAACCCCATGGACAGTAACAAAAGGGCCATACTAGCCCAATCTAATTAGAACTCAGAAGCTAAGTAGGAGTTGGTTATATTCAGTAGTTAGATGGGAGACCACCAAAGAAGTCCAGGTTCACTACGCAGAGGTAGAGAAATGGCAAACCACCTGTTTGTCTCTTGCCCTGAAAACCCTATGGGGTCACTACAAGTCAGCTGCAACTTGGCTCACTTTCCACTGTCATTTCGGTTTAATGTTGTTAACTGCTGTTTTACCATCCTTGCGTAGTTGATTTTAGTATTGTGTTAATTTTAATTTTTAATTTTAATTGTACTTTGGGAATTTTTATTGAGAGGTGACACAAAATCTAAATGAATTAAAATAAATTCTCTGATGAGCAGGGTGATGAATTATTCTTTTTCATCCTGTCTGACAATGTGTGATGTGTATCACTTCTCCAAGAATGGTTCCACATGACTGTTTAGTTTGGAATTACCATGCTATTTTTATGAGGATCCATATTATCCTTATATTTTCTTTTCTTATTGCTGTTCATGGCAGTGTTTTTCACTTCAAGTACAAGAACAATGCCAGGCTGTCCCATGTGGTAAAATGTGATTGAAAACACTATGGAGGTGTTACAAGGTGTCATGATCTGAGTAGGCCTGAGAGAAAGACCTAGAGGCCTGTGTGGGAGTGGAGAGCAGACAGACTACAACCCCCACAATGCTTAGCAACGGTTGTAGGCAATCAGTGTACAGAGATTGTGTGAGAGAATGGAACTTAAGCTTTGTGGGCCATGAAACTGTTCTTTCTCTTCTGCGGTCTTGTCTCTCACAGAGCTAAACTGAGGGGACAGTCTGGTCTGAGGAAAAGATCCCTCACTTGGGACAGAGTGAGTACAGGCAGGAGGCTTGGTATAAGAGGGCTGTGGGCCTTGAAATAGTAACTAGTTAAGTGAAATAGGTAGTTGCGTTAGATTTGATTATTTTGCCTTTAAACACTGTTATAGACAGACAGACAACCTTTATTGGCATGTAAAAACACTGTCATATATTTTAAGCATCTTGTCTTGTTTTCAATGCCCCATTACTGTGTTAATAAACCCTGTTTTATGTTCTCTGCCTGGTCATCACGCCTGTATTTTCTCAGCTTAAAAGGGGCATTTTGGTTGGACTTGGGAGGGTACTCTGGGCCTTCCCAAGGGACCCTAAGTCCAGAGTGGTGGCAGACGACGGTGGCAACCCCCTGGGGGTCATGACACAAGGCCTTTCCTTTCAAGCTGTCTTCTTATTTTTATTACCACAAAGAAGACATAGAAAATCATGATCTATACAGGAGGGATAGTTGATTACACATACGAATTCTTAGCAGTTGAGCCTATCACAATGATGCACAAAATAGCCAGGTATGGATTCTTATATCTAAGTATATGACAATATCTCACCATTTACATTTTCTTCCAGTTTTACCTTCTTCCAGTAAACAATGAAAGGTCTCCATCCATCTTATGAGTATGCAGTCAGTCATCTGGAGATATGTTGACCAAAGAAATCCTAAGTCTGAACATATCTTGATGGGGTCTGAAGAGGCTGAGACTGAGATGGAAAGAGATCTTGAGGTCAATGAAAATATTGACTTGGGCCCATTGGTGGCCACTCAGCATGGTAACTAAAGGGAGCTTCCACATTCAGAAGCAGTAAACCTCAGAATACCAGTGGTACGAGGCAACATCAGGGAAAGGCCTTGGCCTCTATGCCCAGTTGTTGGCTCTTCAGGACAACTGGTTGGCCACTGTGTGAAACAAAATGCTGGACTACATGGACGACTGGTCCAATCTAGAAGGGCTCTTCTTATGTTCTTATGGGCAGTTATCACATGTACCACATGTAGCCTGGTACTCTGCATATTTATATATATTGCTTTCTATTAACTATGTTTAGAATTGCACCCTTAAATCTCTTTCTAAACCTGTTATTTGATTGTTAAACCTATCATTACCAGAGTGTTCATTTAATTTTAAATTAGCCTTCTGCTGCTTCCTATCTTGCATTAACAATTACATTTGTACAAAAAGTGTGTCCAGGAGGTTCAGTGTTGCTTTAAATCATCATTTGTAAACAAACAAAAAAATCCTCTTTTTTCTTCACTTACTATTCTCTAAACCAGGAGTGGCCAAACTGCAGCTCGGGAGCCACATGCAGCTCTTTCACACAGTCTAATTTAATGTTAATAAAAAGCAAATTTACATATTTTTCAATAAAAAGTGTGTGATATTTATGTCTTGCAGCTCTCAAACATCTGACGTTTATTCTGTGTGGCTGTTACGCTAAGCAAGTTTGGCCACCCCTGCTCTAAACATTCTGGCTTCAGTGATATTCTCTTTGTATAGGTAAACAGTTTGTGGATGATCCTACCTTGTTTAAAATTTAGATTTTGATCCTATCAGTGCTTTCCCTTTTTCTTCTAACTAGTTATTCTTTTACCTGGTCGCAAACTTTTTGCAGAGATCTGTTGAATTTGAACTTGTTAATCATAAGAATAGTTATAACTTACATATTGGAAGTGATGGCAGAAGATATCAATAGGGATTTTTAAGAAAAATATGGGACAATCATGAAAAAAATGTTATATGACCCTCTATTGTGCAGTGTCTAGCCCTGGTAACTACAGATTTCTCCTTCTGGATACAATAGATGCCTACAACATTATGTCTGTGTGATTTCTGAATTATAATTTAAATCATAATGCCTAAGCAATACTAACCTATTGTGCATCTTTGTTTATATTTTCTTACAGAAATGGCCAATGCGATCAAGGTTATACATTGGAGCCACAGGACAGTTTTTGAATCATCCCATGCAAACAGATAATGTGAATCAAGGAGAAACATCAGCGAAATCACAAATCTAACCTCCATTTCTCTTTTGAATACTGTAGTATTTATTATGCCAGATATATTTAAATTAAAGTGCATCTTCCCACCAAATGCAATTTTTTTTCAAAGATAGATAGGACTGCCAACATCTAAAGCAGGTGGTCATACTGAAATATGGGGATGGTTCATACATGTGCTTTCTTTATGAATAGAGGTGCAAGCTATAAGGACAACTTCCATAGTTAGAGAAATGGCCAAATATAATTTTCATCTTGAAAATATTGGCTCACTAGAGATCCATGAGCTTGCAAGTCATGTTATGCTATTTGTGCAAAGAATTCAATTCTATTTGTGAAGTGACTGGATATAATATGAACTGGAGCCATTATAGATCAACCTAATGGACAGTGAGGAGTTTTGCCATGGATTTCCGTGAATTGTGGATTTCATCCCATGATGGTTGTTATCTCAGTTCTGAACACACATATCAGGAACCACAGATGCACATGTTAGCTTGTACATGCACCCAGGCTTTGAAGAACATAAGAGTCCTGCTGGACCAGACCATCTATCTCCTGTTTCCAACAGTGGCTACCTAGATGCCTTCCAAAGAACATCAGTAGGGTGTCAACCTTCATCCTTTTTTGTCCCTGGCATCTGGTCTTCAGAGAGAGGTCATGGCTCAGTGGTAGAGTATCTGCTTGGCTGAAGTCCCAGGTTAAATCCCCAGTATCTCCAGTAAGGATCAGGTAGTAGGTGATGTGAAAGACCTCTGCCTGATACCCTGGAGAGCCACTGCTATCTGAGTACACAATACTGACTTCTATGGACTGATGGTCTGATCCAGTTTAAGGCAGCTTCATATGTTCATGTGAGATAACTGCCAGTGAACATGGAGGTTCAGCTTTGCTGTTGTGTCTAATTAATAAATGTATTTTCTGTGACTGCTCAGGATCCACCAGTTTCTAAAAATGGCAGCAAAATTTACAATGTGGTTTGGCTGGTCATAGTGAAGAGATCAAAGAAATAGCGCAACTCTGAATCTGCACATATGTGGACCTTGCACATGTGATTTTATATCACAGCTTAAGTGTGTAGTATTAAGAGTGTCAGTGCAATGAAACTTAATTTGAAAATCTGGAAGCACTTCCAAAAAAAGGTGTCCCTACAAAATATACAAACTCTCTAACCTACATATTTGCACATACAAATCTAATACTTTTTTGGCTCAGATTTATCTTGTATGATCTTAAGTTTATTGACATCTCTCTGATAGTGTGAATATGTGTTCATAATGAAGTGAAAGATTTACTGTAAAACAAACTACCATCGTGATATATAAATAATATAAGCAGCTCCAACCCTTGTAGATTGACTCTAACAGTAATATATGTTTATAATGTAATAATTGTTAGCACTTAGCTTTATTATTGTGTTATGGCTTGAAATGTTGTCTTACAGCGTGAAATGTACTAAGTGTTTGATGGCAGAAAGAGACTAAGCAACAGTGTGACACCAAACGTGTATGTTTTATATATGTGAAACAATTTGATGTATTCATTCACCAAACAGAGCTTGCATGTTTGGTTAGTTCAAGTCAAACATTTGCTGTATTGTTGTTGTTCAGTCGCACAGTTGAGTCCGACTCTTCGCGACCCCACGGACAAGATCCTGCCAGGCCCTCCTGTCTTCCGCTGTCCTCTGAAGTTTGCTCTGAAGTTTGCTGTATTAGGCAAGAGCAATTAGAATTAAAAGTCCAGTAAGAGTTCACCCAGTTTATTTATTCAATGTATTATGTTATACATGACTTGAAGAATTATGCTACATGTAATTTTTTATATTAAATAATCTAAAAATTAACTGAGAAGTGTCAAAGAAATGCAGACGTTTCCTAGAAAGACAAGAAAACTAAAGTGCAAGATGAATATAAGAGGAATTTAAGAGGAATATTTGGGAAGTTTCTTGATTTGTACCAAACCAGGCAAATTATAATTTTATCACATTTTATAATGTTTGGGTGTTCTTAAAACAATCATAGTAATGTCTTGGCCCTTGACTCACAGGGTTAATTTGAATCAGTTATCCCCATGACTGATCCTTGGAACCTAACCTTTTAAAATTGAATTCCCATGAATTTGTCCTGGAAAATGTAACAGACACAGATGGCAATAGATTCACAAAGGTGCTTCCTGCTTGAAGAGGACTGATTTCTCATCTTCCAATGCCTTCATTTTTAGGCATTGCTACTCTTTTTTACTTTTATATTTTAGTAACCTCAATAATAACTTTCAGCACATTACTATTCCGTATTCAAACTTATTAAAATCAAACTATATAGATATACACAAAACAATAAAGAAAATATGGACATATAAATGGTAGATGTATCTGTTATATGGCCACCAAGTTCCAACAGGCTATACAATAGTTGTTTCCTTTTTTAAGGGTCTCATGGTGAGGTATCATAACCAAGATATTCCCCACATGGTCACCAAACCTTGTTACATTTTTCAGAATGTTCAAGCGTCAAATTAATAGTTTGATATCTTTTAAAATAGAGATAGTAAATCTCATCTATCTAACCCACAGGGGAGTGGAATACTCAACAGTCGCCTCTTTCAGTTCCATGGGGTTGACATGGGTCCTCCTTGGCTTTGCTTTTTATACCCAGATACAGAGCTGAACCGCAGCATCATTTAGGAACAGAATTGGGGGCAACTGCATGCCCTGATGGGTTTCAGATCACAAGTGATTATTTCTCAGGAATCCCCACAACCCCATCAGATGTACTGGTTCAGTACACAATGATTATAATTATAATTATGAACAGTTATACGGCAGGTATACTAGGGATATATACAAAAGGCAGAAAAATTACCTGAGTTCATAATGTTGCTATATTTCTTAAAAGGTATTAAAAGCAGCCACAACAAATGTTCTCAGAATTTCCTTTTTTTTGTTGCAATGTCATGTTGACTATATTCAAAATAACAGTGCCATCCTAAGCAGTCACGCCCCTCTAATTCCATTGATGTCAATGGGCTTAGAAAGGTGTAATTCTGCTTAGGACGGCTGAGGGGTGACATGATCGAGGTTTAAAAGATTATGCTTGGGATAGAGCAGGTTGAGAAAGAAGTACTTTTCTTCCTTTCTCACAATACAAGAACTCGTGGGCACTCCATGAAATTACTGAGCGGTCAGGTTAGAACAGATAAAAGGAAGTACTTCTTCACCCAAAGAGTGATTAACACATGGAATTCACTGCCACAGGATGTGGTGGCGGCTACAAGCATCGACAGCTTCAAGAGGGAACTGGATAAACATATAGAGCAGAGGTCCATCAGTGGCTATTAGCCACAAGATATAAGAGTGTTGGACTAGATGGGCCATTGGCCTGATCCAACATTGACTTCTCTCTTATGTTCTTAAGCTCTCCCTCCTCTGTGAGGGCAGATCTGCGCGTTCCCTCCCCCCCATAGCTAGCAATCCAAAACAGTCCAGTGGCACCTTTAAGACCAAGTTTTATTCAGGTACAAGCTCTCCCTCCTCTGCGAGGACAGATCTGCACGTCCTCCCCCCCCCCCCAATAGCTAGCAATCCAAAACAGTCCTGTGGAGTTTGAGTGGTGGGTGTTGCCTTCTGACACACTTCCAGTGATGTCAGGGGGTGTGGCATATGCAAATAAGCTATGCTAATAAGTCATGCTAATGAGCTGCACCTCTTTTTCTACGAAATGACATATATATATATACACACACACATGCTAATACTGCCTTGTAATTTTTTTGGGCATGTGGGTTGAGAAGAAATAGTATATTTAGAGTCATAGGATTAATCCAATTTTTTCTATTCGTTTCACTTCTCTCCTGCCCTCCTCCACCTTCTCAAGTCTTGACTTTGCACAAAGACAGCTCTGTTCTAAGTGGTCTCTACGGGAACAAATGGTGATTGGCAGAGAATACATTAACACAGAAAATATTTAACTTGAGGGTATAGCTTTGTAATTATAGCTGTATATATGAGACAAAGTGCACTGCACAGAATATTTTGAACATGCACAGTATTATGTACATTATTTATTGATTTTTTTGTATTTGTTTCCAGTTGTCCACTGCGACGGAGCTGTTTTATTTAATCTTGTACAACAACATCTAATTGAGGTTGCTACACAGAAAAAAAACGTTATAAATGTATGTGGATCATACATTTCCTGAACCATATGTTGTGATAACACAATAAAGATTTCTTAAAGAGTTTATATTAATTCTTATTTTTACACATTTAGTAAAATTAAATTTTAAACTAAGTTTTAAAAGCCAGTTATATTTTACCTGCATTTGTATCACCTTTTTGGAAAGAAATAGGCAGCCTCATACAATAAGAACAAAGTTTGAGTTAAAGGTGCCACTAGAGTCAAACTTTGTTCTGCTGCTTCAGACCATTATGGCTACACACCTGAATCTGATACAATAAGTGTTCCTCCAGAATAGGAGTCTTGTCAGAGGTGGCATAAGAACTCTTGCACAAATGATAATGTCACCAACTCCGTGCTCATACAACAGAAACACTAGTACAAAGAGATTATGAGAGCATGGGGTGGATAACCAGGTGCAGAAATGTTCAGCTGCTGCTGAACTGTTCTCTACCCTTTTGCCCTGCAGGATCAGAGCACATAGAGCAGTTCAAGAAAAAACTACAATTTTTCAGTCAGCCACCCTTGAGGGAATGGGTAAGTATTGTCCCACTGGTTACATTCTCCCACCCAACAGGAGAATCCTAATGTGCAAGGAACATCAAGGAAAGGGGGATGTACAAGAACTTGAAGAGTATCTGGGTGTTGGGAGGTGGGGTTTGTGGTGCGTCGCATTTGCATGGACCCGGAAGAGCTCCCGTGGAACCAGCAACTCTCCGGGTCCTGAGCAGGGCGTCCAGGTTTGTCCGGATCCTGACGAGTCTTCCTGTAGGGGGGCTCGTGGCAGGGGACTTGATCCCGGGGCTCTCATGTATGGCAGTGCGCAAGTAGACCCCAGATTGTCCTGATGCAGGAACCTGTGAGAGATCGCTCTTTGGCAGCCATTGAGGGAAAAGACGTGATCAACCATTTGCAACAAGAGATATTTTGAGCCTCATTCATAACACCAATGAAGATTACTACCGTGAGTACTTGTAAAAGCAACATTGAAGATTCTAACTATCGTTTGGTTATGCCCCTTTAAGCTTTTAAAAGGACAAGGAAAGGCGGGGCGGAAGTTCCCCCCCATCTTCCCCCTCTTAGCAGCTGCAACGAGTTAACAAAGAAAAGCTGCACTAAATATTTCTCTGTTTGGGGCAAAAGAGATATAAAGACTGTTGTCTGAGTTTCTAAGATCTTTTCCTGGAGTATAACTTTGTTTAAACCCTGGATTTTTTTCAGTTTCTGAACCTAAATGTTATATGGAATATATAGACACCTTCTTAACTAAATAACCTTATTGGAGAACATATCTTGTCAAAAGGATTATAAATTCTTTTCTTCGGAAGAAAGAGGGTCATTTAAAACTGATTCTCTTGATTTATAACTGTTTTCTATGATACCAGCCTTACTGTGGGAATTATAAAAGTTTATTGTGCGCAGGCTCCATTCCATAAAGGCAAAACATCTGACCCATGCTGAAAGATTCCTGGTGGTTAATATGTCTCCCATAGAAATTATCTCGGAAATGCGGTCAGTGTTCTAGGGACTATTAGAAAATAGTTTCAGAGACCTTTGTTTTGCTGAGTTGAGTTGGATTTTGCTACTGTGCTAAAATGAGTGCACAAAATATATATGGAAGACTGCTGAATGAGACAGCTGCAGAAAACAATACTGAGGTTACTTTGGAACAGATGTCTTGGGAGGAGCTTAAATACAGAATCTCGGATACAATTAATTTGGCAGTTCAAGAAGCTTTTGAGTTATCACAAGATAAGAGGGGAAATATATCAACACAAACTACAATTGAGATTAAAAAATCCCAGCAAGATACAGAGAAAGATACAGATCAAATCTACAAGCAAGAGGATGCGCTTTATAGAAGGAAGAATACACCAAAAAGAAAAGAGAAAGCTTTGACAGAGGATTACAATAGAGCTATGAAAAGGCAGATAAATAATGAAAATTTTAAAACAGTAAAGGAAATACTTATCCAGAGAGAAGATAAAAAGCAACCCATGGAATCTTCAACTACATCAAGAACTGAATACAGATGGAGAATCTTAAAAGAAAGTTTTTCCACCTATATAAACAAGAGACATAAGATTAGGACATTGGTGAAGAGAAGGAACCAGAAGAAGAAGAGACTTAAGCTCTATAAATAAGTTTGATTTAAGAAATGCCTTTGTATGGTTACTGATTGAGAATGGCTTTGTTGGAATCTGTCTGTGCGCATATATAGCGCATTGATTTATATCAAAGGTATTGGAAGATACATTCAGAATGTTCAAATAGTTACTGCAAAATATGATATCAGAAGTCTAGATGGTATTAGTAAGATTGTGTAACTAAAAATCTTTAAGAGGAACTAGGGAAATATACTTAATTTTTTTAAATAATAAAGCTATGTAATGCTAGGGTAGGGAACTTATTTGAATGTATCTGATTGAGACTAGCTATGATGGAACATGTTTTTTGTGTAATTATAGCATATTGTTTCATATTCAAGATATTTTCGTGGAAGTTAAACTTAAAGTGAAAAATCATGGCACATGATGATAGTAGAAATTTCAGTTGTATTAACAAAATGTTTAAGAGAGACTAAGGAAATATGCTTAAATTTTTAAAATCCAAATCTATGCAATGGAAGATCAAGCTAAAACTTTTAAACGAAGTATATCATAGTTGACAAAAAATAATTTGAAAGTTGTGTTTAAGAAAATCCAAGGTACACTTGATTATATTAATAGAAAACTGTAATGAAATACTTAGACAATGTTTATGTAGTAGAAAATATATAATGTTAAAATATAGGTCTGCAAAAACTTTACTAAATTGGATGGTAGAAAGATAGAGAACTAGATATCTATGTATGAGGTAGATTAAGAGATATAACGTTGTTCTGATTATTCTCATATGTTTGTTTTGACTTTTATTCTAAAATAATAAAAATTATTATTAAAAAAAGAGTATCTGGGTGTTGCTGCTCTTGCAAATCCATAGTTCACTACCATGTGGCTGTGCTATTGGCTGCTACAGCTGAATATAATTACTGTCCATGTGCCTCTCTTAGCTATTTCCAGGTAGTTATCCAACAGAGAGGGGGAAAGACAATAATGAACCCCAGTCAGAATGCAGTGTCACCCATCAGCTGTTACTGGGAAGTTGCTAACTCTTGTTCTAGCCCAGGGGTGTCAAACTCATTTGTTATGAGGACCAGATCTGACATAAATGAGACCTTTGTGGGCTGGGCCATGTGTGTTATAAGATGTAATGCCAGGTACCAGAGATACAAACTTTATAAAGGACACAAACACAATTAAATATTTTTTTACTTACTTTGTTGGTCTTAAAGGTGCTTTGTATTTTTCCTGTGGGATTGAGGCGGCCAAGCAAAGCAAGCTCTCCCTCCTTCCCTTTGGGGAAGGGCCTCAGCCAATGGAGGAGAAGAGAAGCTTTCCTCTCTATATCTCCTGAGCAACTGAGAGTCTGGCAAAGCAAGCTATGATGCTGCAGCAGCAGAACTGGAGGAAGAAGCAGGAGACACTGCAGGCCTGACAGAAGCTCTCTGGGGGCCTGATCCGGCCGCGGACCACGTTTGACACTCCTGTTCTAGCCTGGCTCATGCACAATTGCAAGCCTCTTAACAGAGTTATTTGATCAACACAGTTCTACCTACTGTAGACATGTAGTAACAGGGACACCTGTACCTACGATTTTGCAGTCAGTGCAACTTTCAAAGGCACAGGAACTTTGTTAGAGTCCTGAGATCTGTTATCACTGGGGACATCCCACCTACCTGTCAAGGAACAAAGGCAAGCTGCATATGGTTACTACATACTCAGAAGATGTTTGAACTGCTTCAGCACCTAGGACTGAAACTTCCCAAATCAGCTTCTGCAAATCAAGGTCCAAATTCAAGATGCCAAGACAGACAGAGAAAAGCACCAAAGAAACACCACCAGCAGAACAGCACCTCTCAAATCTATACAATGAGCAACATTAGAGCATCCAAGAAGTTGGGACCCATGTTCTAAAGCATCAGACCTTAAATGAAAGCAAGAAGTACTCCTGTGGTCCATGGCTTTTGTATGGCATCCAGAGTTTTCATCTTTAATTATGCAATAGCCTTTGGCAGGCATTTTGCTGATCTCCTTTTACCTCATCTAACCATTTAGAAGAAGTAATCATTTCACCATTCTGGAATGAGGCACAATTTGTGGCACTTCCAAAACCAGCTAGAGATCTTACAAATTGTAACTCATATTGGCCCCTGTATTTCCACAACTGAAGAGGCTAGAGACATATTTTAAAACAAAATGATGGCATATGGTGCCAAGGGAAGGTAAAAGAATGGAGCTTCTTCCACAGCCCACTACAAGGGGACCTGCAACTGCTCAGAACACAAGAATCAATAGGCACATATGATGCTGGTTGTGCGCTTTTTTGGCAGCCGAGCACTTAAAAATCAGTCTAGTGACAACTTTCTCACTATTTTTTACTCCCCCCACTTTCCTTTTTGCTAGCAGGTTAAGTGACAACTGCTGTATAGAAAACAGGAGTCCAATGTATTTGAAAAAGTGTGCCTTGCACACGAAAGCTCATACCTTGAATAAACTTTTGTTAGTCTTAAAAGTGCCACCGGACTCTAAATCTGTTCTACTGTGCAAAAGAGAGTTCCGAATCACAATAGGAAACTAGGGGGCGCTCGAGACTCCCTCTCTATGATAGAAGCCGAAAAGATCGGGCGGGCCTTGAGTCACGCGGTGAGAGCTGGAGTCTTCCGGTTCCCGCCTGAAGCACGAGTCTAGCGTGGCCGATATCGGAGACTGGCGCGTCAAGGAAGGTACGCGGGAGAGCCCGGGGGGGGGGGGGGGGGGCTGGGGCGCAGCCGTCCGGCGGGATCCCTGCGTAGGTGGTTGTGCTGTCTTCCTTCTTGAGCTCCCCAATGGGGCTAGACTGAGCCAGCTCCCCCCCCCCCGGTAATAGAGCGCATGAGGAGACGCCCGTCCTCAGCCAAAGGCGGAAGGTGCTGGCGTGGGTCTTTGTTAACTCAACATCGCTACCGCGCGCGCTTCAGCGTAGTCTCCTCATGGGGGTAGAGCTGATAGAATGGGCTGGAAGACCACGTTGTTGAATGCTTCGGCTACATTAACAGTTCGCTCGTTTTTGGATGACCGCAAGGGGACAGTGGGCTGGGCTGGACCCTTTCTCTGGTGTGCTGAATTGTTACTTGCGGAGAGCCCTTTTAATGTATGAGCACATTCATTGCATTTGACTAGGTCTTAGTCTGGCATTTTTAGGCCCACGGCTCAGGACGTTCAAGTCTGGATTGTAGGCAGGATGTGTGGCCTGCTTGTATGGCGATTTCTAGACACGCGGCCGGGAGATGTAACTGCTCTTCCGCGGATGAATTGGGAGTCTGTTCAAAGCTGCCGTTGCTTGGGAGGCAGCCAAACTCATTTGCCGCCAAGTGTACACTCCCCAACGAATCATAACCAATCCAGATTCCTTGATTATTATATCTGCAGTCCTTACTTTGCCAGAATTCCCTTTTGTAAATTAAGATATACACCTTAATATGTATTGTGTGTATTTTATTTATACCCCACTCTTCTCCCCAGTTGGGGACCCAACACAGCTTGCATAATTCTTCTCTCCTCTGCTTTATTCTCACCACCGTGAAAGGTGGGTTATAGTGAATGTGTCTCACTGGCCCAAGGTCACCCAGAAAGCTTCCATGGCGGGGTGGGGATTTGAACCTGGGTCTCCCAGATCCTGGTTCTACCCTGGAATCATTGCACCCCACTGGCTCTTTTAAATAGCAGGACAGGTTATAAAGAAAAACAATCTGATTCTGATTTAAATAAAACAGTAAATGGTGCTTTCACTCTGTTGTGTTTTCTTAATCTGACTTAATGTGAACTTAGTGCAGGGTTGGATGTTCAGTTATGAAGCTGTGAGTCTTATCAGATACTAAAAACAGTTTTTTAAATACCTTAAATAATTTGAAACAGTTCCATTAATAGGCAGTAAGTAAAGATACTAAGCATACATACGTTATTGATAGTATCTTACAATAATCCTGTGTTATACTAAATTAAACAAGTATGTAACTTTTGTATTTGTAAGAGCTGCTTTATGAGCATTGTGGCTTTATCAAATATTAAAGGCAGTTTGATCTAATGTGATGTTATAGAACAGCAGGCTGATACATATGGCCAAGGAACTTTGATTTGAACTCTTGAGGAACTTATTTGTTACAGTATAACACAGGATTGTGGGTTTAGGGAGCTGGTCCATGGGGTCGCAAAGAGTTGGACTCGACTGTGCGACTGAACAACAACAACAACATACACCCAGTATACTAATGGATTTGTATACTTTATTCTTTTTAAACCTGTGACATTCCAATTTGTGAACTATTCCTGTTTTTGTCTTATTATGTGCTCTGAAAGCTTATGTTCCAAAGCGATGGAAGTTGCTGTAATCTTTATTGTTAGTTCCTGTGATAGATAAAATACTATCCTAAAAGCGGAGGTACAGTGAGCCATCGTAACTTTTTAAAAACAAGCTAGACATATTTGTGTATTTGCTGATGGCATCCTTCTTTGACTACATGTGAAAATGGTCCTTTTGTACACATTTGGTAGAATTGACATAGGATTTAATTGGGTGGTGTGTTGAGGACACAATGGGGAAAAGTTTACTTCCAGTATTGATTATTTTGAGTTATTTTTAATCCTCCCAAGTTGTCTGAATGATGATGAATTAGACAGCTAAACATCATTATTGCAGCTGATGTCTTCATAAATCAGTGGTACCAGCTGGATGTCTCATTGCTAATGATAAATTGCCTCTTTGTCAATTGGGATACTGGTTAGAGAGTCATCCTACAGCCCTGACCCATGCCCTCTTCACAGCATAGCACTGTATGTAAGTCTGGGGATTCCATTTTATTGAGGTTTTGTCTTGATGGTGCTGTGAAATACCATGTACTTCGTTTGAACTGAGCCTGTAGGGAATACGTTGTTGTGCTTGCTTAGATAGCTGGAGTCCCAAAGGTACAGGAGTTGTAATCTTTAACCTTGCTTCATCTTTCATACTTGACAAACAGGATTGACTAAAAGTGCAGTGTATATTCCTTAGAAACATTACACATCTGAAAAACTTTCTGACTTTGCAGAGAGGTTCTCTTTTTGGGAACTTGTGAGCAGTTAGAATATTGTCAATAAAATATTGTTCTCCTGTTAAATGAAACTGTGCCATGTTGTTGTATTAATTTCAGTAACTAAGAGTAATTGCTGAAATCCAACAAAGTTAATTACTGAAAGAATTGAAAACTAACACTTTTATTGAACTGCAGCCAATTTGGTTTATGTGTTTCTGCAGGTTTTTTCATCAGATACTGAAAATGGAGTCTAAAATCATGTTTATATTCAGTGGCTTCCAAATCCTTTGGGTTGGACTGTCTCAGTCATTTCAACAAGCAAGGTATAACCTGAACCCTCAAGAGGGAATACTAAATGTATGTTCTTTTTGATGATTGAATTACTCAGAGCTGGGGAAATGCATGGAACCTGAAGCAATCAAACTTCTTGTTAAATTCAGCTTCAGATAGGTTTAACAATTACTTTGACATATTTAGATACAATGAAAGGAGAAACATATGGTGACTTGATTTTAGACTATTCACAGCAATGTAAAACTCTTAAAATGTTTATATGTTAACTAGGTAAATGAACAACTGATTTCCATGAGCACCTGTTGCTGCTTTGTTGGGGAGAAGAAATTTAAATATGAGCTTGTTTCATGGCTGTTGAACATAGATCTTGCAAGTCTGATGAAGAAGACTCTAGTAAATGTGCCTGGAATGGCAAGCGAAACTATTGCCTGTCAGAAAACACTGACTCCTCAAATGTCTCTTCCCTCAGAAGCCATCCTCTGGCTACGAATCCTGCCGTTGGTTTTCAGACCCAGACCAAAACTGTCTCAAAAGGCAAAAGACCGAAAATGAAAGACCTAACAGTGAAAAACCAATTTCCCCCTCCAGATCAGCCGTTTTATTTTCTCTCTCAGCTGTTGCTGGCCAGTCAGAGAATGAGCAGAGCAGCCCATCACCTAAGCTCTTCTCTCCATGGAAGATTAATTCTTGTACTCCCTGACTGAGACCAAGCAGCTTTTTAAAAAAAACCCTGCTTTTCTGTGCTGTCCATCACAGCAGGTCTCAAGCTCCCAACTGGCTACTGAAATGGCTCTGAATCTGTGGGTTAACAGCGCCCATTCCAGGATCAAGAAGATGCATACAAGCTTGAAAATACTAAATGTTCCCTTGGCGAACTTGTTCCTAAAGAATTCTGAAAATATTTTCTGAATAATGAAATCACTCATTCCTCAAGAATCTCTTTCCTGACATACTCTCTCATATAGTAAATGTACATATTATTTTTGAGAATATAGATCGAGGTAGTCAGCCATGTTGGGCTGAAGCAGTAGAACAAAATTAGAGTCCAGTGGCACCTTTGAGACCAACAAAGGTTTATTCAGGGTATGAGTTTTTATGTGCAGTTTGAAAAAGTGTGCTTTGCACACGATAGCTCATACCTTGAATAAACCTTTGTTGGTCTTAAAGGTGTCACTGGACTCTAAATTTGTTCTGTTTTTGAGAATAGTTATCCTGAATAGGCTAAACTGTTAAATTAAGTGTTTCTAATTTTTGTTACAAATAGTATTTTTAAATGCTGCTTTATCTCTTAGGTTTCCTTTTGTGTTTGTTGGAAACCATCAAGACGGCTTTTTGTTCCTTAAGTTAAAGATAACGGTGAGTGTTTTATCTTACCAATAGCCAGGATCCTATTCTTTGGCAAAAATGTGTTTTTGAAAATACGTACAATTTTTAAAAAATGTCTCCTGTGCAGGAGTCATCTTAGGTAAATAGCTCAGAGGCTGATGTAATTTCATACAACCTGAAATCGTCTTTGTGTGTAATTTCTTTTAATTCCTGCATTTGGAAACAGACAGTAGTATTTACTTTGCAGTCAAGTACTGAAGCAGGGAAAATATTTAAGTAAAGAAAACTAGTCAATTTATGTAGGAGTTTGAAACATGATATTACTGGCACGGTGATGATTTCCTTTTTGCCGTTTACCCATCTGAAATTGTGCTGATGTGTATTTACGCATTCTGAGGTGCCAGTTAAAGTTTAAATAGGTCAAGTAACTTGTTTTGTCTTCCAGCAGAACATTCAAGTTCTGTTAAATATTTTTATTTCTGCAGTGAATATCTCAATTGTGTGCCTAGCGGACTTCAGATGAATTCAGACACCTGACTGTCACATTCTTCTTGCTTACAGCGGTGAAAGACATACTTGAAGTGTGAGGTAATTCTGTCTTCTGTTAATAAGATGTCAATCCAGAGTACTGTAGAAATGCCTTACGAAGAAATTAGGTGTGAAAGAATCAGAGTTAAAATGGAGGAAATAACTGTAAATTATGCAGGAGAGCCATTCATTTTGAATTAAATGTAAAATTAAATTGAGATGCCATTCTTTATGCAATATTGTAAAGGCTTGCTTTTACTTACACTTCTCTTTAATTGAGAACAAAGACAACAGCTTCAATATGGAAGAGACATTTGCTTTGTGTATTTTGGAGTTTAATGTATCAGCTTAATATAACAGTATTTTGCAGCAATTTGATTTGACCTACCCACTTCCCTTTTTCATTACAGGGTGGCAAGAAAACACTTGACAAGAAGACAAGAAGAAACTTAATTTGTGACTTTGAAAGAATATGCTTATGGTGGATGGAGATAGTTTCTAGAGTGGGGTATTGAAAGCCCTTCAACTCAAGCATTGTCTATCCTAACGGAATATTTTTCCATATGGTAATTTTTTCCAAATGCATGCACATTTTGCACTTAGCCTGTTTTAAACACATTCGTAGTCCAACTTCACCTTGTTCTCGCATCTTGGGGGAATGTGGGAATATGTTGTTCGTATTCATTAAATGATCTTAATGTTTCTTATCTTCACCACCTTGTGGACCTTGATAGGGTGGAAAGACAGCACAAGAATGTTTTAAATAAATACCACCCCCCCCTCCTGTTTTCCATATCCTGATTTCAGGCCATTGGTTATATTTTTGTTAAATTCTGATATAGAGGGACTTGTATGACTTGTAATATAAATGCTGCATTTTCTTATCTGTTGAATGGAACTACTGATAAAAACAGACATTTTTGAATGGTGCTTTTATTTCTCTTCATGCTGAAAATAAAGTACTGAAGATGGAATACTGTTACTAGAATAAAATTTTAGTCTTTTTTGTACCGGTCTTCTATTTCACATTACCCTGAAATCACCAGTTTTCATATGCTGCAATTCTGTTAAGCGGAGTGTTAATCTTCACTACTGAGAACATGTGCTGCAGGCCCGTATGTGGCAATGAATTGCCTCAGGTGTTGATGACACTGCATAAGATAAACATCCCTTTGAGCCAGAGAGTTCTCACTGTTGAGTTCAAATGGGAAAATGGCATTGGGTGGCACACAAAATACAGAGGCACCTGTACAGAAAAATTAAAATCAGATTTCAGCGATTATCAACATTTGTTTCACTGAAGGATGCAGTCACTACAAAGATGCTTAAGTGTGCTTGGATTTGCCATATTTATATGGAAGTTTGACACGTAGGGACCCTAGTCTAGTGACATGTGGTGCTGACAAATCTTCCAGTGAGTTGGTAGCAACTCCTTGCTTAACATATCTGCTCTTTCATTTTAAAAGTATCCAAGAACAATATTTACACAAAAAAAATAAATTGGGTCCTGATAGCTGTGGCTGGTGCTCTTACAGAAGACAACTTTGTGTTGTTGCTCTCTGCACCCTCATCACCAAAAGCCAGGCCTGAGAAGTAGGATGGCGTGGGATGTGATACAGGGGCCTGCAGCCAGGAGGGAAAACTGGTGAGGATTAGGGATGCCCAGCCTCTCCATGTAAGCTGAAATGTCTTGCACTCGTGCCAGGGGGTACCTTTGGATCAAAACCATGTATTCTGGCTGCCCAGTACTGACACCTAATTGTGTGAAGCAGCTCAGAGGATTCCTGTAAAACCTATAAGAGGCCATAGGTGAGGAATCCCAGAGATAAGCCATTTTTATATCCTTTATGTAAATCTGCGGGGGGGGGAGAGAGAGAAATGGGGTCTATGCACAAGAAACAGATAACCTCACACCTTGGGCAAAAGTGAAACTCTTGGGAGAATTACTGGTGTTTAAGTTCAGTGGGGTGGGGCTTCTTCAGAATACATAGTTTTGTTGTATATATCACAGCCATTGTAACTCACAAAAGGGTACCATGTATGGAAGCCCAGTGAGCATCCTTCATTACTTTTTAAAGGGTAGGGGTAAGTTGTCAGTTGCAAATATTTGTCAGTTATACATATCAGCTTGCCAGTGAGATGGGACTTGCTGTTGCTGCTCCATATTAAAGGTAGATTTTTGCTTGAGAATAGGCGGTCATTCTGGAATGTGTGGGTCCTCTCCTACCCATCATTCCTGCAGGCATGGAGTAGACTGATCTTTCTGTCTCTAGATGGAAGGGAGTGCCCCCACCACCTGTAGTTTTTCTTCATGCTTCCCCTGTGAGCATGCAAGGAAGAAGCTTTGGGGGGGGGGGTGTTCTATTCCCCACAGAGCTATCAGGCTGTCTTTCTAGTGTGCTTTTTGTTTACTAACTTGTGTGTATTAAGTGCCCTCATGCAGCTTCCAACTTAAGGAGACCCTATGGATTAATTACCTTCAAAATATTCTATGGTTAGCCTTACTCAGGTCTTGTAAACTTAGTGTGTGGGTGTGTTTAAATCCTTTGAATTTATATTAGGAGAACTGGACCTTACCACCATTCTGACAGTTTATGACTTACCCTCTGGGTATCAAAGTGAAGAAAGTCACAAAAGGGACTCTTAAGCCAATGGATTAGAGAATTTATCTCAATAACTTACTCACCATACCTTCTAGAAGTTCCAGAAGGCATTACTGCTCATTCAGTCTGTAATGGTAGATTCAGGTGGGTAGCCATGTTGGTCTGAAGCATGCATGCACCCAAATGCTTATACCCAAAATTAAACTTCGTTGGTCTTAAAGGTGCCACTGGACTCAAACTGTCCAGTCTGTAATGTAGCAACATCTGCATTCTTTGAGATGAATGTTTCAATTGCTGATATATGCAAAGCTGCAATGTGGGCATCTGTCCACATTTGTCGATCACTGTAAGCTGGACTCCATGGCCTTGGCAGATGCGACCTTTGGTCTAATTCTTCTCTGTTCATTTGGTAGTTGAGTTCTCACCCTATTTGTATGTACTGCTTGGTAACATCCCAAATGAAGTGAATAAATAAAATGTTCCAGAATGTTGTCCTGTCCTCAAGCAGAAGTGAAAGAGAAGGACATTTTGGACCCAGCCTGTTATGGGAGGAGTCAATGGACAACATTCAATGATTGCATTAAATTGGGGGGGGGCATCAACCACCATCTTTTCTACTGCCTCTAAATGTTGATTTTGTTCCTATTTATCCCATTGTTATTGTGTTGTGGTCAATTGTTTTGCCATCAATGACTGTTGCAATGTTTCATAATGGTTAGGGGAGAGTAACCCAGAGAGACTTTTACAGGGCTCTTTTTGTAGCAGGAACTCCTTTGCATATAAGGCCACACACCCCTAATGTAGCCAATCCTCCAAGAGCTTACAGAGCTCTTCTTACAGGAGCTACTGTAAGCTCTTGGAGGATTGGCTACATATTGGGTGTGTCGCTTAATATGCAAATGAGTACCTGCTACAAAAAGAGCTACAGAAGTCTCCAAACTGAGGGTAATGGGCACAACCCATTGAAAGATTAGTCTACTTCCTGCCTCCAGGGATGATGGGTAGGAGAGAATGCAAATGTTCCAGAATATCCTCTTCCTCAAACAAAGCGAGCCTTCATGGTAAGTCCAGGGTTTCATTTCATGACAATGAGAACTTGCAGCCCAGTAGGATATGAAAGAATGTCTGAGGAGGCTGGCCTGATTCTGAAGAAGTAGGCAGTACCGGAGGTTTTGCATGAACTTTTAGAGAGGCCTAATTTTGACAATAAAATGTGAGTTTTACCATGTTTTAAAGTGAGAGATGATTCATATAATAAGATAGCAATCAAGGCATCTTCTTCAAGTACTTTTGTCCTTAAACTCAGCTTAGCATGTGCTTCAGACAATGAAATCCTAAAATACAAACATGTCTAAATTTGGCTTGTCCACATAATGTTACACATGCATGTTTAATGTTCCTCTCCTGCACACACTGCATTTGTTTGCATTATAGTTTAAGTAACAACCATGTTTGGAAAATAAAAAATCTTAAAATTATCCAAGAACTAAATATAATACATAGTTCCATCCTAACAAAAATATTTGATTAAGTTTATGAAACAGGATTTTATAATCCAATACATTCCTTGAATCACATTCCAAATGTTTTTCTGGAAAGTGCTCAGGAATGTTCCCAAACAAAACTAAAGATGCATAATCATTTTGTCTTCTGCAACTAACATGTTTAAAAGAAGTATATACAAATGATGGTAAATGCAGATCCCCTATTCTTTCCTAGCTTTTAGGAAGTTTGGCTTACAACCCCTGATAGGGCAGTCCCACCTTACTCTTACACAACTACTTGAACAAAACCTTTGTGCAGGTTACATATATTTTTAGATTTTGAACATAAACATTTTAGGTAAATTTACTTAACATAATTTGCAAATTAAACTTACAAAACTTTTAGTGCAGCTGTTGAGAGATCTGATCCATGAATGGAATGTGTTCTTACTCTGCGACTTGCTAGGTAGTAACCATGAATAAGTTTTTCTGCCTCTGAACCAAGTTCCACATGCAAATTCTTAGCAAAAGCGAGGAACTAAAAGAAAAGAAAAACATTTCAATCATTTATGAATCTGGAAAACTTTTAATCTTTAACATTGTAAATATTTGCTATTCAGAATTAATTTTGTGCTATTGGTACTTTCTAAAGCACTTTCAGAAAAAATACTAAATCGGTTGGTGTACATAACCAGACTTTGCCTGTAATCATTTTGAAGTAATTTAAACTGGTGAATCCATCTAAGAATTAACATTGATAAATGCAAACTACTGCTATCTTTCAGAAGTATCTGTCAAAGGTGTCACTTTGGAAATGGAGAAAGTTGACTATAGCTATGCAAGTTAGTGAACAAAATTGTATAGGCTTCATAGGAAGCAAAAGAGTAAACGTGACTAATTTCAAAACCACCACAATGTTTG